ACCCCTCTGTTCATTCTAAAGAAAATCAATATGCAGCGGTAGAAAATGAGTTAGCTCAACTAAAAGTGAAATATACTGACTATAAAAATAATAATTGCTAGAGATTTCCATGCATATACTGGTACGGAGCCAGATTTTATCAAATATGATAGTTATTTACCTTCTTCAGGAATTTAATTTTACCGAAAACGAAAATATGTATGATCAGGCTAATCAAGACGTAAGGGAGTTAATAACCATGAGAAAAAAAATTCTACAAGTATGTCAGATGATTGGGTTAGCGATTGCCAGTGATATCTATGGATCAGATAAAGGGATAGAGAAACCTATATGTATCCATGGCACCTCGGCCTAGATTATATTTTAGCTGAGGTATGTGTTTTATAAAGAAAATATATAACACTTTGAGATAGATGATAGATTGGAATCAATGCATGTGCCCATTGTAGTTTCCCGTGACTACATGGATAAACTAGAGTGTTAACCTTTAAGTGTCTCTGAGAGTAATAAAATAGATACATATATTGAACAAGAAAAAGTTCTATATGTTATCCATAATTGCAAAGATCTATTATCTCAAAATGTGTGCATGAAGATTTTAATTGATAAGAACAATAACAAACTCAATGAATGCGTCGAAACAGTTATTGATATATACCATGATGCAGCAAACACAATGAAGACAATCAATAGAAAGTAAAAACTAGCTGCGATATCTCCAAGAAAATTTGCTAAATGTCTGCCTTTGTTTAACATAGATTGCATTACTATAGTTAGTGAAAATATTAGTAGAAAAATGTTTAGAATCATAAGGACAATTTATAATGATGTAAAAACATTTGTAAAGTACAACAAAACATTTGTTAAGTACAACAATCTTATTACCAATGTGTCTAATTGTCCTATGGGCGAACGGCAAGGTTGTGTGTTATCGCCTGTACTCTTTTATTTATTTTTTGAACGATTTGAAGCCATTTTACCTAGTGGAAACAGCCGAGTGTCAGTAGAACATTTAGAACTAATTTTTAATATTGTATACAGAAGATTTAATTGGCTTTGCTGACACTGCTCACCAATTGTAAAATAGTTGCATGCATGAATATGGAAAATAAAGAGTGATTGTATTTCGCAGAGGTGACTATCTCAGAAGTTGCGAAAAATGGTACTATGGTACGATTCAGAGGTAAAGACTGAATCATATTAAACGTCCCTAGCACGCATATTTTCTTCAAAACTCTCTGGGTATATGTTTTATGTGAATAAGCTTTTATTTCTCATAAACTCTTAACAATGTTCTGTACCATGGCCGGAAAAAGAGAGAGAGAGAGAGAGAGAGAGAGAGAGAGAGAGAGAGAGAGAGAGAGAGAGAGAGAGAGAGAGAGAGAGAGAGAGAGAGAGAGAGAGAGAGAGAGAGAGAGAGAGAGAGAGAGAGAGAGAGAGAGAGAGAGAGAGAGAGAGAGAGAGAGAGAGAGAGAGAGAGAGAGAGAGAGAGAGAGAGAGAGAGAGAGAGAGAGAGAGAGAGAGAGAGAGAGAGAGAGAGAGAGAGAGAGAGACTTTTGAGGATAAAGGTGTGTGTCAAAAGGTGTGTGTCACTCATAGCTGTGTAGATATGACTACATTTCTGATTTGGGGGGAACTGGGCAGTGCGAAAGTCTGTCTCCGGACTATGTAATGAAGAGATAGAAATCTGCTTCTGACTCTGGGACAGAGTGATTATACTTAGCTGGCTGAAACACAGTCTCCATTGAATCAGAACAACTCTCAACCCTTTCCACAAGAAAAACGCGTGAATCATAAATTTGCAAGCCTTTAAACGCAACTGCGCGATTACAAACCTTGTATACAATTGAACTGTATAAATACGTAGTATCAGCTTGTCATGAAGTCTAAACTTTGTTTTGACGATAACCTCTAAAATGCAAGAGAGTGTACTAGCTCACATGCGTGATTTACCAAAACAGCGCACAGCTGTTGCGACTCGAACAAATTAAATGTCAGTCTCACTATTGCTTAGTGCACAATGCGATTTTAGAGTTGATTTCAAACATACTTTTTACTAAAATATACTGTATTGTAATATATGTGCCAGAAAGCTCGATCCTTGCAGGCTCTGGAGGCTATACATATGCTGAAGTAAAGTCTTTAAAAATTTGGCAAATTTCCCGTAACTGAATTACTTAGACCGTTTGATTAGAAGATAGCGCCCATCTTTAACTAAAGGGCTGGGGTTTGGGGGTTTTATGATGTTGAATATGTTGAAAAAGTTCATTTGAAAGTTTGTAAATATATTATTGGTATATCTAAGTCTGCACCAAATGCATTAGTGTATACTTGATAAGGACGAATTAGTATGCAGATTATAAAATATAAACGTAGTTTGAAATATTGGATAAGAATTCTGAAAGTGCCAGAAGACAGATATACTAAACAATGCTTCAATTTACAGTGTTTTAAGGATGACTTGAAGACATCTTGGAGAAAATGACTTGAGAAAATTTGTGATCTTTTTCCCTCCTTTAGCTATCCGTGGAATTGGAATATCTTCTTGGGTAGTCTCTCTTTGATAGCCTGAAGACCTGGCCTGCAAATCTCATTTATAATTTCCTCAGGAGAGTGTCTTGGAATGCCTGAAACTGTGAGAACCTTAGGGTCCGGGACACTGTCCAATATTATCCTCTTCCGTTTCCCCAACCAGCCCCCCCCCCCCTGTAAAAATGGTTTAATTTCGCTGCATGAAGTATGTACACAATCTAGGTTTCGTATGCATACAGCCCTTAATACAATGACTTTGTAGACCTTAAGTGGTGGTGGTGATATGGTGATTGCTGGGCTAACAAAGTTAAGAAAAACATTTTATTTACATTTGGAAATGGCACTGTTTGGTTTTTCACAGGGTGTACATGGTGACAATAACTTTTTAAGATTGTTTAGTGATAGATGTGAAGATATTTCTATGCAGAAGTTGCAAGAATAGATTATGTTTCTATAGATTATTGGATGCAGAATTTAATTGTCAGATATATCTAGAATTGTTTGGAGATAGCGTTTTTTGTTACACGATCACACTGCTTAGAATGTGGAGCTTGCCAGTCAGATGAAGATATGAAAATATTTATTATGAAGAAAGATTATGTCAAATATGTAACGTTAATATGGAAAATTATTTCCCTTTTATTATTGCTTGTCATCTATATGAAAAATTACAAAGAAAATATTTACACGCCTCTGTATATAAAATCCTTAGAAAAATGTGTACGTATTCTGTAGAATATTATCTGTTAAGTATTATTGTTTTAAAAATCAATATTGATAATTTCATCGGAAGACTTATATTGAGAATGTCGTTGTGCAGATACATATATTTTAGCATAGCGCAGTCATTCTAGCTTATACTCTCTCACATTCATATTTTTCTGCATCCGAAACACAGTTTTGTCCACCCTATCAACTTCAAATATGAATGCTGTTTACATGTAATATATCTCACTCAACACTGTGACGAAAAAGACATGTAACATAAATATACAGTGCTACGAAAAAAGGTATCTAATACATATATACAGCGTAACTTTAAATAAATAGTACAATGGTCAGGTAAAGTATCTGAATCACCGACCTAAGAAGTGGTAAAATTATTAAATTTGGAGCGTCAACAAAACCAATTACAAGATAAGTATATTTTACTACATTTTTGCCCAACCCTACTATTCCATTCATTGTCCGTGGACCAGTTGCTTTACAGATATCGAAAAGTGAGTGACCGTTGTAGTTAATGCTGTAAAATCTTGAGGTGAGCGTAGTAGAAGAAACTCTGGTACAGAATCTGGTATCAAAGAATTCTAGTATAAATCAGTGCTGATAGGAAACAATAACATAGTAAACATGTATTTCTTATTGGTAATGCGTGACACAGCAAGCACTTACTTCTTTTTAGTAATGCTTGACAATGCAAGCATGTACTTCTTACTGGTAATGCATGACTCAGAAAGCACGTACTTCTTATTGGTAATACATAACACAGTAAACATGTGCTTCATATTGGCAATACAAAACACAGCAAACATCTTATTCTTACATGACAGAGCAAACGCGTGCTTTTTATTACTACTACATGACACAGCAACCACTTACTTCTTATTAGTAATACATAACTGCAAACGCGTACTTCACAAAAGTAATACGTAACACAACAGACTAGTAGGCCTACTTCCCAATAATATATAACACAGCAAACAAATTCTCCTCCATGGTAATATATAACACAGTAAACCAGCACATTCTAATGGTAATATCTAAGACAGTAAGCAAATTCCCGCCCCTATTGTAATACATAACACAGTAAATCAGCACATCCTAATTATAATAACTAAGACAAAAAATAAATGCGCCCCAATGGTAATAAAAAACACAACAACAAAGTATTTTTTAATGGCACTACATTCCACAGCAATCTTAAAATATTGGTTTGGTTTCTGTGACAACATAAGAGGCTTATCAGGCCAATTCGCTTTCTGAGCTGTCTGTGGAAAAGTAGACAGGAGATACCGCTTAGGGCCGCTCTATTGATAGAGGACGTGAAGCCGTTCTGAGATTTATAATGCTCGTGCTGCCCATGCATTTCCCCTCAGTTCAAAGTATGTAGCTCCAGTATGGATTATACTCCACCAGGTGGACCTATCCTGTGCGAGATCTTCCCAATACACGGGGTCAATATTGCAGTGTTAATCCTGTTCTTTGGAAGTTGCTCTTTTGAGAGCCTGGAGACATGATCTGCCCATCTCAACTTTGATTTCCTCAGTAGACTGTGGATTCTTGGAATGCCTGCCTGTGTTAGAACCTCCCCGCCAGTAACCCTGTCCTGCAATGTCATCTTTATCCGTTTTCTCAAGCTCCGTTAAAAATGGTTTAGCTTCACCAGACCGACCAGTCCTAACACTAACCTCTTAATGCTTAGCGTCAAGCGAGGAAGCTGTTAGTACCATTTTTGTAAGTCTTTGATATGACTCGACAGGGGATTTAACCCAACACCTCCCGCATGCGAGGTGGACGCTCTAACCACTAGGCCACCGGAGCGGTTAAGAGGGCCTGGTAGAGTGTTCTACATATGGCTGATGAGATGTGCGTGAGAGAGCAGTAGATTACGAGAGGAGTAAAAGGATTAAACGGCGATAATATGTATGATTGTAGTAGTATTTTACGCCTCCTCAGCACATTAGTAGCTATATGATACCAACAAATGTAAAGTTCGAAACAAATGTAAAAATGAAATGCACCATTTAGGGAGATTTGTTGTTGTTGTTGTTGTTTTTGTTGTTGTAGTAGGGTTTAAGGTACAGCACAAGATAGGCTATACATGGTGGCTAGTATAAACGGTGTAGGAAGAACCCGGAAAACCATGGAAAGAACAGTAGTAGAAAGTAGTAGGCACAACAGAGATTTCTAGCCCAGAGACCCTATTTCTTTAGCCTAGAGACCTTATTTTTCTCTAGCCCAGAGACCCTATTTTCTCTGACCCAGAAGACCCTACTTTTCTCAAAACAAATACAAAGACGCATTTTTAAACCTTCCCGACCAACCCATCAGGGAAGACACGGTGGAAAAGCCCGCTGTTTGAGATTATTTTATTACTAAAGTTTAGAAAAACTTTTACAAATCTTCATCACCTATTCTTATTGTTTTAACTGTGTATATAAGAAATATTTTATTATCATGATGGTAAAGACAGAACTTTATTCTACCGCGTACCCAACGACGACATATTTCTGGCTTATTAAGTGGATATTTTTGTTAATTGAAAATACTTTTAAGGCATCAAGATCACTGATATGTTTGGTATATTTATGTTGACTGATTGGATCATGGAAGTTATTAAATCCTGCTGACAATTCCTGGTTTAATTTCTCAATATAATTGAAATATTCGATGTTGTCACAACTAACAATCGAAAAGTTTTAGCTTGTCATGGCCGCTGAAACATATTCCTGAAGTTTTATTGTTAATTTCGACTGAAAACGTTTTACCGTCTATCACTAGGTATTTGAACTTGCTATTGCTGCTATTTTTCACTTTCATACATTCAAACATACTTTTATAATTTAGATGACATTTAATAAAAGATAATGTCAAATATAGATTTGTCGTCAACTACGTCGTCAGACGTAAAGATAATATCAAGTATAGATTTATCGTTAATGATTTCGTCGTCGAAATGACAGTAACAAAGTGCAAACGCATCCATTCGTTTCCCAATAACATTTGTCATCAAAATTACTTAATACGCGTTGGATAATAATATCTCTTCAAGTTCATGATGATTTGTTCGAATAGCCATTGCTGTTATAAACAAACATCTCCATCAAGCGCATATCATCAAACCCAATAAATTGTTCGACAAAATCACGAGGCAAACCTTTTCTTATGTGTTGTTTTATTATTGTCCAACAACACGACATACTCTTTACTACGCAATCCAATAAAGTATCTGATAAATTTACCAATAACATTTTTATTTATATCATCATTAAATTTACTATTGCAAGAATAATCGGAAAGATCAAATAGATGTCGGTTATCAAAGATATCCTAATAGACGTCCTCGCTCTTTATTTCATCAATAAGCTAGTCAGTATCGTTAATCAATAATTTACTTGACGGTCACTGCTTCTTAACAAAATTATAATGAAAGTCGTACATGAACCATTGTAATAAATCTAACACAGAAGCCCCAACATAAATCGACTTATTTAGTTTTAAATTTATTTTCTTCGTTGTATCGCGACAAGATTTTCATTAAAACTTTTTATGCTGACAAAATCATCGTCTAGCACAAGTTTGTTTCAGCGGTTAATATCATTAACTAGTTCAACGTTTACTCTCTTTCTAATATTTTCCATCGTTTTCCCAAGAAAGAGTTATTCAAAAGCTTAAAGTTTTTCTTGAAATCAATTTTCGCTACAGCTCTTCGCGAAGTGTTTGAGCTAATATAACCTCTCATCCACGGCGACTAATTTAATTTTAACATACGATGAACATTTCTCAACACAAGCCCAGCATCTACTGCATACTTAAGAATTTTGTAATGCAAAACATAATTTCGCTTATCAGGTAAATTTGGGACTAGTTTACTTACCACAGACGTTTGTTATGACGATGCAATTGCTTGTTGTTCCTAAGATAAACTATAATCGATTATCAATGATTCCGCACAAAACGGATAATCGCTGTGTAAATCTTGCAGTGAAGTAGGATAATTGAGTACAACTTTAACAAAATACGAAACATCGCCAGGTATCTTTTTCCTGTCTCCGCTAAAAATTGGTAAGGTGTAATCCAACGAAATCCACCAAATGGCATTGGTTTTGATAATGCATAACCATAGAGGCTTCTTGTATAGAGATAAATAATATACTTCAAAGGAATCTCAGGATTGTTCTCTTTTATGCATTTGTTTTTTGCTTGCGAATATTTCTTTGTTTCAACGTTAATATCGCCACGGATACCTTTTTAGATAAAGTTAAACATGTCAACATCTGTTAGTAATTATCTCTACCTTCCTAAATGTTAGCAAAGCATCCCACGATAACCCAGAGGCAGAGGAATACCAAGGATCTAATCCGTAATTATTATAGCTCACTTTTCGAAAACTCTCAATTACATCAACTAGCAATAATACATCAGTTTTCAAATACAAATTATGATAATCGCCAAATGTCTTGCAATAAATTCTTTACAAATATCCTGCGCATAATTGTACTCATCAGTTTTATTTTTGTTTTTTTAGCTGTGAATAAGCTTTAACTTTGTCAGGTAAAGAAGTTTCATCAAATTTACTCCAATCATCGAGATACTCTTATGGAAATACATATTTTTTATTAGCATGCTTGCTTTATTACCAAAGAAATCTTGTAGGTTATAAAACTCGCTACCACCGCTTACAGCATTTGTTTTTACAAATTCTTCTAACGATACTAATGTAAACTGTAGGCTGTCGATAAAATGCAACTTGGCATATACTTTTCAAAACTATTTGAAATACACTTAAGAACGTTATCAAGTTTTAAACGAGAGTTTATTTCAGGACCATCAAAAGCTTATACGATAATATGACTGTCATATCCTTGGAAACTGTAAAGAACAACTGTAATAAAATCTGGAGCATGAAACTTTCGTTGCGCTTTTTCGTGATTCGCTCCACAATATTGTCCATCCAAATGATAATGATCGCATACTTTTCATTACCAGGTGAAGGCGATATGTGTGTTGTGTCAAAGTTTTTTTTCTCACAAATATGACATTTTTTTTGTTCTTGATCGGATTTTTGTAGAGCTGTCAGTTTTATTATTGAAGTTGTTTTTCCTAAACGTTTAAATATATCATCAACTTCGCTAATCAACTGCTTGAGAAGCCAAACAGCTGGATTAGGCCCCTTGACTCTGTCACTGCGATATATTTTAATCGATTTGAATAAACTCGGATCAACACAGCAAACTATCTTTTACGCAACTCTGCAAGAAACATAGTTTTGAGGTTTTTTTGTCCTTGATTGGTTATGATTATTTCCTGCACCAATTACAGGCTGAAGTAAACACTCGAAGTCAGCGTAAATAACGAAAGGAAATTTTAATTTATGTTTGTACGTTGACAAACCGAAGAATTTTTTTCCTCTTCCTCTGGCATTGTTATTAATTGTACTTCGGAACAATATTGTATATACTTTTGTAATTTTTCAATGTCGGAGAAACCGTGTAACCAACAATAACAGAAGTACAACTTTTTTGCTGAACTGTCTACCAACAAGTCCTTTGAAGCTTTTGATCCATACGTACTGATATTTATATAACATCAGATTTATTGTTGATTATGAGGTTGTTTCAGAAATATATATTGGATAGATGTTTTCATGCTCGTCAAGACCAATTACTTTAAAAGAAATAGTATCTTGCTTTTAAAATTTTGATGTTTGATTTTCTCCAAAGGGGAAGTCAATACCAGTAAAATCTAATTTTTTAACGTGACTAAGATACTTGTCAACATGATCAGTGTGATTTTTCTGCTGAAATTATCTTGGAAAGAATGGCTTACTGGGATCATTTGTTATCAAAGTTGTTGACGTTGATGCAGCAATTTTTGTTCTTTATTTTCTGAGGCATGACAATATATGAACTACGGCGCAATACATTATATTTCGTTGTGTGAAAAAAAATTCGGAAATAATCTCAAACTTTCAACCCGAGTCTGATTCAGAGAACTCTTCTATCTGTTTCCAAATGTCCTGATGTATTTTATCAGCTAGCAATGAAAGATTAGTTCCAGGCAAAGCACGCTTGGATTTTGCGTTAACAAAAGGATCTGCAATTTCCTCGTCAACATCATCTCCAGAAACATATGATTTCGTGAATAAAACGTGGTTACTGCACTAGAATCATCAAACCTTTGTGTTTTTCAAGTTTTAACAGCTTCGTTTAGATTATCAGTACGATATATCCTTGCTTGCTCTATATATCTTATATTGTCCATTATTATTATTATTATTTAGATTTTTAAAATTATATTATACCATGGGTCTTCTCAAAAACCTAAACTATGTTTATGATATGCCATTAACTTTAGAAATAGCACAAGAAGCCGAGCATGATGAAGTCGTCAACAACAACGTCAGTGAAGCTGATGCCAGCGACGAAGCCGGGAACACATTTGTTATCAACAACGAAATTACCACTGTTCCCATGGCAATGTCGTGGGATAAGAAAAACCACAGAAGACCGACAATCGGTCGATGCAATGTTAAGTATCATATCGCAAACAATTGATGTTACAGTGGACAAGAATCAGTTGTTTTGGCAGCTAATAAAACCATTTTTAAATATCAACTTAATTATAAGGTTTTTCCAGGAGTGGATTTTTATTTTTATCTAGCTGTTTATCTAGCGGAATATACGGCCCAGTGTATGTCCAACCTTCTCTCGGTATTTTGTAATTTACTGATAAATTTGCGGATATTAATGCCGCTACCGATTACTTCTCGACGATTGCAGAATTGACAATACGTGACAATTTTGTCTTCTCCGATACAT